GGACACTGAATGTGGCTGAGCTTAGGATAATAGAGATTCAAGAGAAGGAGAGAAAGCCATTGTGAAAGGGTTTTCACTTGAAACTGCTATGGAGAGTCATAAAGTGGTGCCATTGTTTAAAATGTTTACACAGGCAAAAAGCAAGGAGGTTAGGGCACAAAGTTATTAGGGGGTTAATTTCTCATCAGCGTAGTCCAGATTAAAGTCTCTGCCAGTCATATTGTTGGCATGGGGAGCCTTAGAGACTGGAAAAGGGACTGGTGGGAGAATACACTTCAAACAATGGAAAACCACCTTTTCAAAAGTAAAGCAGATATGCTAATTTCAGTCGCTTCAGGATGGGCTTGATTTAACTCCTGTGAGGTCAATGAGTTGTCAGGTTTTCAAGAGCCCAGTGTGTTGGCTGTCAGTGCCTCAGTGGTCAGTAGTAGGTGTGGGGTGTGAGAATCTGGCTCAGAGTTCTCTTGAAAACTCGACTCTGCAAAATGCAACCGCTCAGCAGTTGCATGATGAGCTACTCCTAATACCGCTAAGTTCTTACTGTGCCACCGTTCATCTGCATGACTCAAAACACTGTAAAGAAATTTAGCTTCAGGGGGTAGCCGAGTAGTCTGTAACTGGAAAAGCTTTAAAAAACAACCAATAGTCTTGCAGCACTTTAGGGTAGCCACCCTAGTTCGAACTAGGGTGGCTAATGTAGTCATTCGAACTTGCAAATGAAGCCCGGGATTAAAATATCCTGGGCTTTATTTGCATGTTCCCCGGCGCCGCCATTTTTAAATGCCTGGTAGTTCGAACTCCCTGCCTGTGGCTACACGTGGCACGGGCTAGGTAGTTCGAATTAAAGCTCCTCATTCGAACTACCGTTACTCCTCATTGCAGGAGTAGGGAAGAGATGCATCTCATTGGATTCCTATTCTTGTGCTCACTATGCGAAACCAGATGGGAGCTCCACACTCTTCAAGTTTTCTGGACTACATTAGCCACTCTAGTTCGAACTAGGGTGGCAGTGTAGACATACCCTTAGAGACTAAAAAATATGTAGCTGGTATCATGAGCTTTTGTGGGCACAGCCCACTTCTTCATGGGTGAATGGAGTGATTAAAGGTCCAGTTTAGTTTTATTGTAGCCATCCTACCGATGGGGAAGTGGAGGTGCAGAGAAATTAAGTGATTCACTCAAGGTCACATAATGAATATGTGGCTGAGATGGGAATACAACCACAAACTTGTTCTAACCCAGTGGTTCCCAAACTGTTCAGCATCACGCCCCCCCTTTCTGATTTTTTAAAAAACCCTCCCCCCTCGCCCCCCCCAAAAAACT